GACACGCGCGCGCCAGAAGCTTTCCCAATCCCGCCGCCCGCCACGGACCACTTGCGCAGATAAATCGGATCCGCGCCCCCGGAGTCCCTTCAAGCAATCCTCCCCAACGTCTCGGAATGGGCCTACAAACTCGTCAGGCAATGGCGCAGGGCCTTGACTCCAGACCGACTGTGGAGGACTTCCGCGAAGACAGCGCATGGGTGCGGTTAGCCAAATCCCACTGGCTGGACGGTTCCAAGGCCCGCAAAGTCAAGCAGGATGTTCTTAAAAAGGATCTCTGGGATCCCCTCGAGGCTGAGAATTTCAGCTTCCGGTCGCTTCTGACGCTAGAGAATCTCAATATCCTGGAAAAGTGCGCATCTCCCGCAATGCTTCTTCGGACTTCCCCTCTTCGACAATGCCTAACTCGCGAATAGATTTCTTTGGCCGACCTACACGGAAGATGCCTCGAACTACCATGTGCTCCTGCTTGCCTTGATTGTGAGCGTCAAGCAGCGGGAACATTTACCGATATGGGGTATGTGAATGGTTTGCACTGCAGGGGCGATTTGAATTGCTGATGAAGGATCAGATATCTTCTCCGACCGACCGGCGGATTTCTCCAACCTTTTCCACCGTATCCTTTCAATGAGCGTCGATCCATCACTCGGAACTTCTTCCCGATTGTCGATAGTTTCTTTCATTATTAGCGCCTTCCAGTCCGTCGAGAATCCGTTGATACGCAAAGAATGTGCACCACTGGTCTCGATATCCATCTGGCACAACCTATCGAGCGAGGAGGCAAGAGATCGCCTATTGGCGAGGAGTTCAGGACTAAAGAAAGCATGGAGAGCCGCAGGGAAACGGTACGATGCAGGAGATGACGCAGGCAAGGCCAAGATGCGCTTTGAGCGATCGTGGCTATACACCATGCTTTTGGATTTTTTCCGGAGATTGAATGGACCCGAAAGAGAGCAGGCGGATAATCTGCGGTACTGCGAACGACTACTTGAATTCCTTGTGGATCTAGAAAGCCAGCCTCCTACCAGGCGCTATGTGAACACGCTCTTGAAAGACCTCAACTTCCTGTCCGTCATCCGTCTGTCGCAACTATACCGCTCTGCAGACAGCGCGCTGTTCCGTGATCTATGTGGTCTTCTGGAACATTTCAGCGCATTTGCAATTGATGACTTCACCGGGGAGGCTCTGTCACCCCAGGCTATCTACGATGCCCACTGCCAAGAGTTAGCACGTCTGCAAAGAACCTCTATGAAGTATTTCAAGGACAAGTTAATGATTTTGGCTCTTTCCAATTACGGATCGATTGAACAACGCTCTGAACTAGAAGGTCAACTAGCTACCTTGGAGGAATCTGAGCTTCGAAATTTGTGCTCGCATCTTGGTTTCCGTACAGACTATCCGAAACAGTCTCAAATAACGCCGGATCGTCATCTGTACATGGAGGTTCTCTTGTCTTTTTATGAAAAGAAGACGACATTCCAGGAAGCTGCCTCCCAGCTCAGCATTGTTCCTACCGAGGAAAATCTCTACGACCCTACTTTGCTCCGCAACGAGACATACGATGGATCCAGGCCACTTGCGATTCCCAAGCTAAACCTTCAGTATCTTAGCACCGGTGACTTTTTGTGGCGTTCCTTCTTGCTCTATCGGTCAGAGGCATTCTTCCAAATCCGCAAGGATATGGAGTCGATCGTCAAACGCATGCAACCTCGTGCAAGCCGGGACGGCAAGACATTGAACTTCGACGGTTTTTCAAGGATGGCCATCCCCATTACAAAGCCTGCCATCATCGAAGTGGCACCTCCCAAGGTCGGTTCGGCAAAACCTGCGTTCGTCAGGGCCGAAATAGCTATCGAAGTGGGTAGACTGGCCGACCACATCCGAATGGAGTGGGAATCACTTCGCCCAGATGACGTGGTCTTCTTATTGGCTGTGCAGTCAGATGATGCAGGAAAGCCCGGCTTCCGAGAGCCTGAGACCCCCGGCCTGAAGTATCTTAGAACAGCAGAGGTTGTGCAAGTACTTGATGAGAACGGTCGCCCATTGCGCGAGCCTGTGTCAGGCCAAGCGAACGGGCACAGATATAGGCCGCGTGTGCGGAAGTTACTGGTCAACCTGGACTCTGCTGCCTTCAAAGCAGACAAAGACGGCCTTACGCGAGGAAAGCCGGATGTATACCCGTTGATCAACGTGGTAGCCAGACGGAAGGGGCGAGAGAATAACTTCAAGTCCATACTTGAGACGATGCAGAAACTCATTGTCTCGGACATCACCCTTCCCTCCTGGATTCAGGATATCTTCTTGGGTTACGGAGATCCGGCTGGTGCTCAATACACACAACTGCCCAACCGATTGAGGTCAGTTGATTTCCGGGACACATTCTTGGATTGGCAGCATCTCGTTGAGAGCTTGCCCGGTTCAACCATAGAACCATCCAAGGAGGAAGCATCAAGTTTTGGTCCCCCGTACGTAGTTGAGTACGTTGAAGAACCTTCTAAGACACCTTCGGCGGAAACGTCGAAGAAGCGACGGAGGGAACAGGCCGAGAGAGAAGCAGGACCCAAATCTCTTCGCGTCTCGACATACAAGCCACCGAACCCAGGCCCGTATCCAATTGACGCGCCCAAACTTAATACCGTTCGATTCACTCCAGCGCAGGTGGAGGCCATTGCTTCTGGCACTCAACCAGGGCTGACCGTTATCGTCGGGCCTCCTGGAACAGGGAAAACGGATGTTGCGACGCAGATCATCAATAACATCTATCATGATTTCCCCAATGAACGCACGCTACTTATCGCGCACAGCAATCAAGCACTGAACCAGCTTTTCCAGAAGATTGTCGCGTTGGACATTGACGAACGTCATCTTCTCCGTCTCGGTCATGGTGAAGAGGAGCTGGAGACCGAAACCAGCTACAGCAAGTACGGACGCGTGGAATCTTTCCTTGAGAATCGCAATCACTTCCTCGGCGAGGTCATTCGGCTAGCAGCATCCATTGGAGCACAAGGTGCCCATGGCAATTCGTGCGAAACTGCCGGTTATTTCAACACAGTCTACATCCAACCTGCGTGGGCCAAGTTCTGGGATCAGGCTCGCAGTGAAAGCGCTTCGACCGAAGAGATCATCTCGGCCTTCCCGTTCCATACATACTTTGCCAATGCGCCTCAACCTGTCTTTGATGCGACAGCGACAAAGGAGACACTCCTTGACGTGGCTGAGGGATGCCAGCGGCACATTGACAAAATCTTCTCCGAGCTGGAAGACATCCGTCCATTCGAAATCCTGCGTCAGCCCAAGGATAAGGCCAACTATCTACTTGTGAAGGAGGCAAGAATTATCGCGATGACATCAACGCATGCTGCCATGCGTCGCCAGGAAATCGCCGATCTCGGCTTCCACTATGACAATGTGATCATGGAAGAGGCGGCTCAGATCACGGAGATCGAGAGCTTCATCCCCGCTGCTCTGCAAAACATGAAGAATGGCGAACTTCCTCTGAAGCGAGTAGTCCTTTGCGGTGACCACCTCCAGAATTCTCCCATCATTCAGAACATGGCTTTCCGGCAATACGCCCATTTTGAGCAAAGTCTGTTCCTCCGGTTGGTGAGGCTGGGCGTTCCTGTTATCACACTGGACCAGCAGGGCCGCGCGAGACCCAGCATTGCGGAACTCTTCCGGTGGCGTTATCAGCAACTTGGAAACCTGCCTGCCGTTGAGACGGCGCCAGCGTTCAAGCAAGCCAACTCCGGTTTCCAGTACGAATATCAGTTTATCAACGTGCCTGACTACCAGGGCACCGGTGAACGTGAACCCACTCCCCACTTCATCCAGAATCTGGGAGAGGCCGAGTATGCCGTTGCCATCTACCAATACATGCGCCTCCTTGGATACCCAGCCTCCAAGATATCCATCCTTGCCACGTATGCAGGCCAAACGGCATTGATCAAGGATGTCTTGAATCACCGCTGTGCCAAGAACGGACTATTTGGCATGCCCAAGATCGTCACGACGGTGGACAAGTATCAAGGTGAACAAAACGACTGTAAGTTTTTCCAGAGAGACACCCCGCTCCGTAGAAGAGGACTTTGTACTGATTTGTACCTCAACCCAGACGTTATTCTTTCCCTCACCCGAACCCGCACCGTCGGCTACCTCCGTGACGTCCGTCGTCTGACCGTTGCACTCTCCCGTGCACGTCTTGGTCTGTACATCCTCGGTCGTCGCGAGGTCTTCGAGTCATGCTACGAGCTCAAGCCCGCATTCGACTTACTCTTCCAGCGCCCAGACAAGCTCATGCTTGCCCCTGGCGAGATGTTCCCGTCTGCGCGCTCCCTGGACGACGAAGTCCAAGGCACTCCGATGGAAAGCGTCGAACATCTCGGCCAGTATGTTTTCGAAATGACCCAGGCAAAGCTCAAGGCCATGGGTGGAGAAACCGCTGTTAACAATGAGATGGACGTGGGAGGCGACGAGGAGGTCGTGATGGATGAGGATGAAGTCATGCTAGGGGCTGGGGAGGAAGGCGATGATGATCCTTTGCACGAACATACTTTCACTGAAGCATGATCTGTTTCTTCTTGTTCTTGTTGTTTCTTTCCTGGCCCGGTCATTTTGTACGTGTGTATGCATGCTACATGCTCTTCTTTTTAACTACTGAGAACCCCGATTTTGATCTATTCTTGAGGAAAAGCCATACATGAATGGACTTGGATGGCTGGGCTTTTATTTGAATGACTGAATGGTTGTGATGAGGCTTCTTTCTATTTCTCTGCTACTTCGTGTGCGTCGGTATATTTGCCTGGTAGCAGGATTAGTATTACTATAGAAGAAGAGCCTGTAGAATTGGCTATGTAGTTCCGCTTTATATACATAAAATATCTCTATACCCCATTCTAATCCATGTGCTCTATCGTGCCCGGCCGAAGAAGAGGCCAGTGGTTACTATAGTAGCAAACAATAAGCTCGCCTAAGCAAACGCACCAGACATGTGTAATAACTACCTAAGATGATGAGGACTCGGACTCAAGCCTCTTGATCTCCTCAACAATATTTTGGGGGTCTTTCCATGCAAGAGCGACAAACCTGATAGGATATTAGTACATCGATGCCTTCTGTGAGTGAAAAGACATATGTTTGTATGCGAATACTGACTTGGTGTGGCTTCCTCTGGCGAAAACTTCACCCTTAGTGTTGGCGAACTTAATCGATGTGTATGCAAGGGTCTTGCCAACTGCGGATGACTGTAAGTATATGCAGCCTTTCAAGTGGGTTCAGGGAACTTACATTTGTCACAGCTGACCTCCTGTTACACATGCAGTGGGTTAGCCTGGACATGCCTTTTCCCCCTTTTGTCCTGACTACTAATAGAGAGGGCATATAAACATACCGCTAGGATCTTGTCTCCTACTTTGCCACCAGAGCTGAGGTACGTCACTGTATAATTTGTTAGAGGTCTTCGGGTAAAGTAGAAGTTGCTGTCTGCTCACCATTCAGGTCGGTCGAGACACCGGTCGCGAACAGACCACGGGAAGCGACAGCTAGGGAGCCGCCAAGGTCCACTTTGTGTCATTGGGTGTTAGCAGAGGCGTTTTCAGTGAGAGACGGTGTTTGCATGTGGCCTACCCATGCTCGCAATGGTGCCGCCATGGAGGATGTTCAGGCGGTTCTGGTTATTGTCAGTCACCAAGCAAACAGTGTCAGGATTCTGGCTTACCGTGTGCTCCTTCTTAATATCGAGCTCAAAGTTGACCAACCCAGGTTTGGCAGCAGTCACACGAAGCTGGGCGCGATAGGAATCATTGTTAGTATAGAGTTCCGAAGCATTTAGCCGGTATCAACGGGTGTCCCCGGGACCGATTTGGAGTGAAGCCTCAGCTGAACGTGAATCCATTGAGGATAATTCTGGATGACGCTGGTTGTGCCATCCCGGCATAAAAAACTTACATTGTCTAGCAGACTAGATCACCAATTCCATTGAGGTCCAGTCAGTAAGCTGAACCCGAAACAGGCATGAATAAAGCAGTCTGCCTCTATGACTTACCGAGGCTCTAGCCCCGAATTAGCCCGAAAGGACTCCCAAACCTGCAAATATATATTGTTAGTACAGGCATCATTTCTCAGTGTAGTGCAACACTAGCAGGTAGGTAAGTAACTCACAGAGCGGACAAAACGCAAGGCAGTCATTTTTCGCTGAAACGGAATTGGGGTAGAGGTGAGAGTGAAGCTTCTTACGAAGTAGATAGATAGATAGATGATTGTTTAAAGTGAGATCATCGGCCGCGGCCGCTTCATTGCGCTTGGGGCCTGTTTGGCGCGCCGGAGCAGCTCCGCTTTGGGGCCGATCGTCTCCAACTTTCAAATCCCAGGCGTTGGTTGGTTTCTTCTTTCTTTGGCTTCAAGCTCCAACGCCCCATTTCTTTCCCGCCGCATCATGCTGCAGCGGTGACTCCTGCAGACAAGATGGCTGCCGCACCATCTTCTCGTCCCTTTGAATACCTCGAAAGCCTTGCTGGCACCGTCTTTTACAAACTTTACCAGCAGCCATCGACGGCTCTCGCCATTTTCAGGCGCATGCTGCCTGATCTAGGTATGTGTCGCATGTGCATTCACCATCCCAGTGCTTCATCAACTGACTGCATGACTAGCAAAATGCTTTGTCATGGCACTTCTCTACCTGAAGGATCCGCTCCCCGCGGCGGATCTGGAGGCTTGGGTTAAATCAGAAAGCTTGAAGTAAGTGCTGGGCAGGCACCCTGGATGGTCTCCGCGGTGATTGTGATTAACACGAGCCTCACACAGAGAACGCGACAATGCGCTCTCCATCCTAGGGAGACTGCATATCCTATCCAACACTGTCACAGCGGATAACGTCCGCGCCTACAAAGTCACCGACCCGTTCGCCACCTCATTGCGACATGCCCTCACCGGCGCCGACCAGACACAATCCTTTGGCGTCCTTTCACACGTGCCTGCGGGCTCAGAAGTCTCAATATCCGATCTCGATGAATATGCGCGACGACAGTGGGAAGGAGTGCTGGGATACATGGTCGGTACCGGAGGCATGGGAGCTCCCCAAGTGACCCTCAGCAAAGGCGTGAAGGAGCTCCTGCAGGCGGGTCATCTGGTTGAGATCCGAGATCGTCGTGTCGAAATCACCCAGGATGGGTTCGCCTTTGTCCTACAGGATGTCAGCACGCAGGTGTGGCACATATTGATTCTCTACGTCGAGAGCGCCAGCGCCATCAAGATGGACAGTGTCGAGGTCCTCTCATTTGTGTTCCTCCTCAGCAGTCTCGAACTCGGAAAATCATACGAAAAGAACCACCTCAGTTCGAAACAACTGCGCATGCTCACCGACCTTGCCGACTTCGGTATCGTCTATCAAGAATCACCCGATGCACCGCGTTTCTACCCCACCCGTCTTGCAACGACGCTCACATCCGACTCCAGCGCCCTGAGCAACCCGCTCTTGGGCTCCCTCTCCGGTCCTGCCGGCGAAGCCTCCAGCAAAGCGGGCACGGGCTTCATTATCATCGAAACCAACTACCGTGTATACGCATACACCTCATCCCCCCTACAGATCTCCCTCATTGCTCTGTTCACTACCCTGAAATACCGCTTCCCCAACCTCATCACCGGCAAAATCACCCGCCAGTCCGTCCGCCGGGCCGTCGAGATGGGCATCACCGCTGACCAAATCATCTCCTATCTCTCTACTCACGCCCACCCGCAAATGCGCAAGCACAATGTCTCTCGCTCGACGTCGAATCAAGCCGGGATACCCCCGTCAGTCCTCCCGCCCACCGTAGTGGACCAGATTCGTCTCTGGCAGCTGGAGCGGGACCGTGTCAAGGCTACGTCCGGATTCCTGTTCAAGGACTTTGTCAGTCTGGCAGAATACGAGGCCCCATGCCGGTATGCAGAGGAAATTGGTGTTCTGGCATGGAAGTCGGATCGCAAGCGCATGTTTTTTGTGACGAGGCATGAACAAGTGGCTGCGTTCCTAAGGAGCCGCAAATAAAGAAGAGGGTTCATCAACTCCCCCCACCAAAAAAGTGTTGGCTGAAATGGTTTCATGGGGCTGAAAAAGGAATATATTATTATAGCAAACTTATGGCTTCTTGCGTTGCATAGAGGTACGGCAGCTCGGCGTTCTGGCTTCTCGGGACATTTTTATGAAACTGATGATATATAACCCACCCAATTCGGAGAAATACGATTGTGAGGTGGGGTCTTACAAACTGTATAATAGCTGGGAAAATCAAAATAGAAGAAAAGGAATTGTGATTTTTAAATGAAATAGACAAGGATCATTAATAGTGATATGATGGTAACTATCTGTCCGTCCCTAGCACAAATGCAGCAAGTCCACCTCGCATCATATATACTAATACACAACTCTCAACCTCACGGCCTCTCCACCAACAATGGACTAAACAACCCAACTACAACTAGGTCATTAGTCCCTAAAACGCTGACCACAAGGTCCATGAGCCTTTTCAAACGCCAACCCAAACGCCCTATAACTCCGCGTCGCGTCTTCCGAACGACACGCATCCTCCAGCATCATGAACGCCCTCCTAAATCTCCCTGTAACACCCCTATCCAACCCAGCAAGAGCCGCTGCCCGCTGAGAATACCCATGCCTTGACACGGCCAGCGAGAACACACTTGGTGGGCGAATTCCCGTCACGGGATCCGGTGCATTGAATAAGTCTGCGTAAAGTATGGCGTTGAGAACAGTCACGAGTCGTCCGAGCCAGTATGCGTATGATTGGGCTCCGTATATTGGTTCGAGGCGTGTACGTGGCGGTGTGGGCTGTTCTATGGTGGTGGATGTTGAGGTTCTCTGGGGAAGTCGTGATGGGATGGGGGAGTCGAGACGGTGACGTGGGAGTGGTCGTGCCAGTTGTTCGGGCCGTGGTGGTGGTAGGGTTCTTCTTCTGCTTCCTCTGCTGGACGCTGGATGAGGGACGACAGGTCTTGGGAGGTGTGAAGGAAACGGCGTCGGACGGCGCCTGGTAGTGGAGGTGGGAGTGGTGTCTGGGTTGGGATGAGCTTGAGGTCGGGGGGTGGTGCTTGTGCCTGTGCTTGTGCTTGGGGCTTCTCTTTCTCTTTCTCTTTCGTGTTGGTCTTCGCTTTCGGCTCGAGGTTGCATGTTCGATAGTATAGAACTTATAGTTGTGTATGTTCGGTTTGCGGCGGTGGTATAGCTTTTGGAGGTATGGAGATAGGAATAGCTTAATTGGATGTGGTTTTTGATGGCTCTTGTGATTATCTGGGTCATATTGATACTGTTGATTGAGGAAGGTTCATTTTTCTGGTTGATGAATTGTTATTTGATGCCGTACACCCTGGTCAAGGAACGTGTTGTGTCTGGGCTATCTCGCCCTGTGAACGAACCACGGATCGATCAGTAAACATTTATCACCCGAAGTGAAGAAGGATTACAGTCACTCTCACCTGCCGATTCAGTGTCGGCGCAGAGATCATGTTTGCTCGTTTGTTTGTTTCTCTATCACATTGTTGGTGGTCTTGCTGGTTATGGAAAGAATTAATAGTTTCGAGGTTTGTCTGTTCGGAACTTCTGGATATCAAAGAGTAGTATGAGAGCTCAAAAATGAAGCGAGTAGGTAGTGTGGGTATATCACAGGAGCATGGCACAAATAAATGTAAGTAGGATCAAATGGGTGAGATTGGAGCAAACTGTTTGTCTATTCCGATTGTCTCAAGTACTTGTGTTCATTGTCAATCACTATTTCAAGGACAATCGACAATAGGAGTTTGAATAGAGGTGATTAAATCTAGCAAAACTCCAGGTGATACTTCCACTCTTATGACCTGAATGCGGGTCATTGGTTAGACACTTTCCTAAGTATTAGAAAACAGTTATTCACCCAAGTTGGCTGTTGCCGCAATGGATACATGCCTACCTGGTATGGTACTGCTTCACGGTATTCAACTCTCATATATCCACAGTACAAGGTAGAACCTTAGAAGTCAATTGCATCTAGATTCTATATGCTGCATACTGTAGTATATTCAAGCAAATCTTATTATACTAACTCCGGCTTTTCAGACGTCAATCGCGTTCACTCCAGAATCCCGATTATCACATCCGTAGTAGTAATCTACGCTGACCAGACAGCCATTCCCAAAGTGTTTGCTGCCACATTTTTTGCATCCGCCAATTTTGCGGATATCTTGATAGGCCTCCCACATCTCATCACCAGTAATTGTGCAGTCCTTGCCGTTCTCGTCCTTACCGCGGATCTTCACCGAGCAGCCAAATTGCTCCCAATTGGCCCAGCAATTACCAGACAGCGCGAGAGCCTCTGCATTGGCAGTATAGAGTGTCGAGCCACGATTCATCTGGTTGACAGCCTTGTCGCACCACTTGACATTCAAAGTACTGCATAGCGTCGCGCCTTTACAATCGTACGGTGAGTTGCCCGTGCAGTAGGCTCCGCTGCTGAGGGTAGCATCGTCCCAGGTACTGGGGCATGGATGGAAGACATTGGTCAGGGGCCCATATCCCTGTGCCTCAACGACAAAGTAGTTCGTGTTGACAGTATCAGAGCCGATGGGAAGCTCCCACGTCCAGGTGTAGCCACTCCGAGAGACGGGGACAGTGCCCATCGAGGTCCACGCCCAGGGATAATTGGTCTGTCCGGCCGGCAATTCGGCACCACTGTATTTGAACAGAGTTCCGCTCTCAACCATGTAGTGTGTGCAAATGTAATTGCCGAGATTGTAGTTGATGGGCCACGCCGGCATCTCGCAGGCCGTGTCCGGGTCGGTCAAGAAGACGCGTTGGAAAGCAAAGGGGATTAGGATATCGGCCTGGACCGTTTTTTTTGTGGCGGTCGAGCTGCTCTTCACGTTGGTGACGGGCTGGTTGTCCGGCAACTCAAGCGTCGTTGCCTCGACCGAGTTTGAATTACCCGACGCGCTCCCCCCAGACCCGATAGCCTTCACGGTGAAGGTAATGGAGGTACCGTGATCGATGTTGCCGATGGTAACCTTGGTTATGCTGCCTGGTAGACGGGCCACTTCTTTCCCATTCTGATAGATTGAGTATGCATAGGGAGCAGGGGAGCTAGCTCCCCAGCTCAGACTCACGGAGGAGTAATCTGAGGCGGTCACTGCTAATGAACCGGGAGCAGATGCAGACTGGCCGTTCTTTTCATATGCGGTGGGACTGGAATTGGCCGGTTTGCCACCTTCAAGGGCGCTCATGATGACCTGCATGTAGTCATCATCAGGGAGGGTATCGTACGGATTGGGGAGGTTGTCGTTGGTGATATGGATCAGGCCAGCTCCGCGCTCCAGGGCCAGCTCAGCAACCTTGCCCACACTGTCTGAGGGGGCATTGTAGATAATATGCCAGAGCTTCCGCGGATCGCTAGGTGTCCAGTCAGGGTTAGGTGAGTAGTTGTTCATGTATGTATCGTAGCTGTTCTCGAAAGTCATGAGTGTGTCGGCACTGTTGACCAGTGTTAGCGAAAACACCCTAAATCTCCAGCAAGGGTATATACTACATACCTATGCTCGAAGCACTGTGGCATTGTAGCCCCGGGATTGAGGACGGTAAAGGCGCCCGGGTGCATGCGCTTCGTATAGTCAGTAATAAAGCGATACAGATCTGAATATACATTGTCGTCGCCGCATTGGTTCCACCCTTCGTCAAAGAATATACCGCCAATCATGCCAGGGTATAACGTGTACCACAGGTCGACATCGGTCTGGATCTGTGAGACCCAGTCGGCCAGACCGCTCGAACCCAGTCGAGTCTGGAATTGATCTTGGCTCAGGCCAAGATATCCTGTGCGCACATAGCCGAGAACTCGTTTACCCGCTGTATTGGCCCGGGAGATGACCTTCTCCCAATCCTCATCCACAGTCGTATCCGGTCCGTTGAGGACGTTTGCAACCAGAACGGTCACCATGCCGGATGGGTAGTCGATCATCCGAGTCCATGCAGTGGGATCAGATAATGGATTGATGTACGATGCCAAAGCAATCTGTTGGCCTCCTGCATCCATCGATTCGTCATCGTCGACGTCTGCAGGTGTCCAAGGGCATGAGTCGAAAGTGAATTTCTCTGGAATTTCTGGATACCCATTGTCCAACTCATTCTTGTTGGTCATCTCATAGATGACTAAATTGGCAATAAGCTCATGAAGCTGAATTTGGGGGTGGAAAACACGTCCATATCTGAATGAGAAGTTGATTCGGTTGTCAGTATTCCATCAACAACACGTTCCACGAACAAGGCGAAGAGCTTCTTACCCGTCTGGCAGCACATTCGGAACTTCGATATCAGAAGATTCGGACACAGTACTGAGAGATAGTTTCGACTCCACAAGAGTCATATCAGTAGTATCGTCGGACACCGAGGTCTGTTTGGAAAACTGAGCGTCCGGATCGAGGAGTTTGGTAATCTCCGCATATTCATTCACAGACCCCTCAAACGTTCCCTCTAGGGGACGGTCTTGGCTTCGTTTGTGAGGATTAGAGCCGAGGGGATCCCACGTGTTTAGCTCGTAGAACATTAGACCCTCTCTGTATGTCATGTCAGTCTACCCGATGGCTAGGTTATTTTCCATTCATGGTGGAGTTTGAGCACCCACCTTGTGTTGCTATCTGACGTCGATTCATCGACACCAGCTTCACAAAATCGGCCATTGAAATAGCCAACATAAGAGTCATAATCGACAAATTTGACCTGCGCGCCAGCTCTTTCTACTGCAGACGACTGTAGAAATAGAAAGTTAGCATCAGCTTTACCCGACAAGGGGTGGGTGGAAGAACAAACAATCTTCTCATTGACGGAGTCCACAAGGTCATTCATTGTTTTGCGATGAGCACTTGTCAGTGTCTCTGTATCCTGAAATAGGTTGTACAGATTCTGTCATGGGCAATCAGAATCTCTCTGGCTATTACTGGAGAAGATATTGGGTTTCACTCACATGAATCCAGGTTGACCAGCTAACCTTATCGCACGCAGGTGATAGATATTCGGCCCAGAATTTGGCATAACTGCATCACGCTTCTTAGCGACTGCTGGGGACGATGAAACAACATGGCATCTTACCCCGTGTAGTAGATCATACCACTGCTTTACAGTTAGAATCAAGCTTCTGAATTAGGGTATTGCTGGTACTCACTTTGATCCTAGCTTTTTCTTTGCCGCAGCAATGACGTTGTCCAAGCTCTTGCTGAACGCATCTCCATTAATAAGATGATTTGTATGTTCCAACTGCCCATCGCAGCCACGGGCCAATGTATCCCAATCGATATCCGCCATCTAACCATATTCCAAGTTGGCAAGAGCAGCGGCCTTGGCTACTAAGACCTGGATAGGATTCAATACGGCCCATTGATAAATACACTGATTCAGGATATTAGAAAGTTCAGCATCATTACCGCCTAGGGTAATATAGATGTTAGTTAGATATGCAGAAAGAAAAGAGAGATAGATAGACAATATCTGGCTATACCAGCTGATAGCAAGATAACTTACTGGTCCCCATTGAGATTAGGGATCTGATCATTAATGACATCAGAGATAACTGCACCAAAGCAAGATTCCAATTGGAAGGTTCTTGTTGTCGGATCTCCCAGACATTCATCATTATTAATAAGAACAGAATACGCCTGATCATAGCGACTGCAAGCCTAATCTGTGTATTTTTGACAGACCCATCAGTTCACGGTTCAAAAACAGCTTTGAAATCGAGAAACTAACTTACTACTCTTCGAGTTAAGTACTTCGCCAATATTTTCAAGTCGACTTCCAGCACCTATTCCGGCCGAATAAGAGTCGCCGATAGCAGCCAGCTTTATTATGTAAAAAAGTTCAGCCGGATTAAATTCATCTGTATCTCTTATGCCCATCAAGTATACAGATTACATGCTTGCATTTCCACGCAGTTCCCAGGGTACAAGAGGACTTGCAATAACGCAACTGCCGATAGTAGCAATGGCCGCTAGGCCATGCCATGGTTGCGTGTACATTACAGATAAAAAAGCTAGGCAGGGTAGGGGGTGAAAAAAAAAAAAAAAAGAAAAGAAGAAAAAGAGAGACTTCACAAATATTCACACTATTTAAATCTTACAAATAGCATAAAGGAACTTCTAATAACTCAATATATTGGCCATGACCTAGTCAAGTTGTATAGTACGCTGGTGAACTTTTATATCCCATCTTCTACTACGAGAGGAAGACCACTCTTCTACAGTGCTGTCCTCACATCTTAGAAGATCTAGTGAGATATACTGAGGAGCCAAAGGTCCACCGGCCGTATAGAGTAGTGTAATAGTTCAATGGGGTGCTTGGTGGACAATAGACATTGTCATTGTTTCAGTTCACTGATCTCGAAGCTATCAAGCTGGGTTGGTGCTAGCTGCTCAACTGAGACACAGCTATATATGAGATTACCAATGGAAAGACATAGTATCAGGTACTCTTGCGGTGCTTGTAAAGTTCATTAGTTCTGTCCACAGACTTTCGGAGATTTCCAACTTGCCAATCTTGTCAGACATGTCCTTCCTCTTTCTTACCAGGTTCTATATAGCATCATCTAATGGCCATGGGAGAAAGCATCAACGATTGTCTAATGTATAGACGCTGTAGATAGGTCAACGAATTTAGTGACAGAATGCCAAAAAAAAATCGTCTGCTATGCCATGGGCCCACTAGATATCAAAAGACCCCCCGAGACCCGCTGAAGCAATCTGTAGGTAGATTAGATAATGGGAAACTTCTTCCGGAGGGTCCAGGGCACGATTCTGCACAATGTAGACATTAGACTGGTTAAATCATGGGAGAGGTATTCCCGAAAAGGACCCGAGATTAGAACCCACATGTGGTGAAAATTTCCGCGACTCTGACAGGGCCGAAGCTCGTGCAGTCCCACTTGATAGCAATTCAGGGTCCACGGACAAGGTAAAACATAGAATCGATAGTTTAATCTAGTTCTTATTGACAGTCCAGTTCCTGAACTAGCGCTGCCCTAAACTCCATATCCATCCAGCTAATCTCATCGGATGCCAAGGACTGTAATTCCAGCACTACTATCGCGAACTGCCTTAGCGCATAGTGTTCAAGTAACCCCTATCAGACAGTTCTTGATGATCCACCGTCTACAGAAAATACTTAGTAGCGTAGGGGAATCTTGAAAGTGGATCGAATATCCCTGCGATATAGTAATTTGTCTCTCCGTTTGTCCTCTCAGAGGCCGTGTCTGGAGGTGTCCATTAACCATTACTGGGTTAGCACAGTCAATTATCTCAAGATGATTGGGACCCTTGAGATTGGAGATCAAAGTAGTGACTCAAATTAGGTAACTCTTCAGGGTTTCCGATGCCAATTGAGCCTCAGATGCTGAAGCTTTGGGACAAAAGCTACTACCGTATGCCTCGAGTGCTTCTACTCTGCGTGGTTAGTTGGTTACATTATATGGCTTATTCAGTAAGCCCTAACCTTCCTCATTTGAGGCTCATCCCTAGATATTCCACTGTCTGGGTCGACCCTGCGCTAGTTTCAACGGGAAATGATCAATTACTACGATATGCGCCAAAGTACAACGCTTCCGAGTAACTCCGCCCTGTATAGCCCCAGCAAGCAAGCTATCGTACATTGCTAGTGTGAAGAAATTTCTGCAAGATTTGATGGCTATGGGGCCTATACTACTGCAGTAGAAGTTAGCCTTTTGTAACGTAGAGATGAGTCTTCTACCATGAGAACAGGCAGGTGTAGCGAAAACACTGTAGGTGGTTTAAAACTACACGGATTGCTAGAATTCCATGATTAAATGCATTTGTAGATTCAAAGGTTCTGATTCAAAATCCGATCATTATGAAATTTCAAGTAGGAAAACACCTCTCTCACGATCAGATTTCCTCGTTGACCAAGATGCCTCCAAACAGGAAATTAAAAGAGGGATATCAATCCCCCGCCTCTCCCATTTCCTCCTACTCTTCCTCTTCGCATTCAATTCCCTAGTTAACACAGCCTACGACATCAACGACGGCGAAAAAGACTACGCAAAAGAAGGTGACACGGCCCTAGGCATCAAGCTTGACCTCAACTTCGCAAGGACCTGGCCAAACGTGGATCCAAAGGACTCAACGGTCATCCGAAACTGGGTCTTCAGCAGCCATCTCAAGTTCAAGGGACTGGTCAACGATGAAACGAACGGTATTGAGGATGAGCAGCTTTGGCAAATTGCACTCACGGGATACAATGAGATGCAAGCAAATCAGGAAGCCTACGGGATTCCTAAGAGGCAGAGAAGCAAAGCTATGACGGTCCTTGCATTCGATCACGAACTCATACTCGCGTCGTCGCAGAAAGGCGAGTCGTTCTCGTATTATTATACGGATACTCCTGTTGCTAAGGCTCTGGAGCGGTGTCAGGTTACTCGGCGGAGGGATTTTGGGAAAGAGTCAATCCATAAAAATGAGGGCAAGTGTGGTGAGGAAATGGCGGCTCATTTGTACTACTTGGTGCATCCGGGCAAGTCTTTAAGTTCCCAAAAGCCAAGGGTTGCTACTATTGTGGGAGGTAAAAGGACTGATCCTTGTACGGATAATAAAGGAGTGAGTGGATGCATTATTACCCTTCGACTCCTTCCTAGGATTCTGTTGGCTGGGTGCTAATCGATCTGTTCATAGGAGAAATTCGGATGCAGCACATTTGTTCAGGAGTACGGCATTGAAGTCGTAGATGCCAACAAAGAGTTTAAAGAGTTCAGTCTGAGTGAGATTGCGGGTGGCATAGAGAAGAGGAGCCAGATCCAGTTATGCTACTCTCCTGATACGAGCAGCAACAGCAAGAAATAAGGATTAATGGTCATAATTTTGGGTGGCTTTGAGCCATATGACCTAGTGGCTCTGGATGTATGATAAAGTTTACCACTCGCGTTTCCATTCGACTAAGTCGAGGGAGACTCCAGCTTGAGCACCAAGCTCCATGACTTGGTGCCTCAATTCTGGGGGCCATTCCCCACTGTTTGTCTCTATATAGTCAAACAAGATAGATATTCCACGAAGATGAGGCGTACAGGATCTCCAATCCCTCAGCCATGTCCGAAGCAAGGTCAGAACGGCAGAATCCGTCCATTCATAGATCGGCCATTCAGTATTATATTCTCCACCGTCATTCTGTAGCCCCAACTCGTCCGTAATGGTTAGGAATTCAATATTCCTTGGGACCACATCCTGCAATCTCTTTGTTGTGTCTTCGACAAACCCCACGAGGAATGCCAGGGGAATCTGAAGTCTCTTGAGCTCGTCGAAATCCACTAGCGCATGCAGTGAGCCCTCCATCTTGACAGCGGGATAAAACTGCTCATTGCCTCCAATCGGGGCATCAGCTGTGATTGTCAAATCCGTTAGAGTACTTCGAACATGAGATAACGCGGCCGCGACCCCATCAAGATCAACGATAGGCGAAACAAAGTCATCCTCGACGCCATAGTCGTAATACCAGGCCCAGCGAAGGGTTTTGAGATTTGGCGTGACTAACAGCAAGTTACCGAGATAGGCTTCCCGTACAGCGGTCAAATCAAGAGAGGTAAGTTTGGAAGGGTCAGGTAAGTGCGCTGCAGGCCAGGTGAATTCATCCGGGTTTTCGACAGTGACGGACATGCTTTGGACGTTCGGAAGATAAAACAATGGTAAGACATTGGCGGTGTTCTTGCTTCTATCTCGGGGGGTCAAATTGGGCTTTGTGCCGTCGTCTCCCACGACGCGGTGGAAAGACACATCCCGGAGATGTTGAAAGGTAGGTAGCCTGTACATCTTAGGTCTGCATAGGGCTGAGTTGAGAACCATCCCGACAAAGCGACTTTCTCTAGTGAAAATCGGACCAAGATACAAGCTCCTGAGATTCGAAAGTTGTGCTACCAGAAGGGCAAGAAGAGCATCAATAGTGCCCTGATGTAATTCGCGTATCCAGCGGTCGCTGTAGGGTACTCCAGTTCCCTGGACGAATGCAGTGTATTCGGTCAACTCGGAGTTGGAAATGGGAATAGTGTAAAGAGAGCCTGCAATATTCCGACCTCTGATACGCATGCCGTCTAAGTAAACATTTGTGATGTATGCAGCCAAATGTGGCCTGCATGAAATTGTGCGTAAGAGTTGTGTGATCGGGGGAGGCGAAGGAGCTTCCTGCCAAAGCCATTGGATGTTGGCGTAGAGGAATGGCTCGACTTGGGTGCGCAGCTCTTTATTGACAAGGCTAAGCGCACGCAGTTCAGTCAGCGAAAGTAGCTCGAAGACCAAATGTAACACTTCGACTGGGAAGCTCAGGATCCTCGATGCCGCCTCATGTTCGGACGACATTGGGACAAGATTCACGAATTTCAGAGACTCCCTGCGACTGTTGTAGGAGAAAGTAGAAGATGAGTAGAGAAATCAAACACGAGAAACCTGATGCTCTATTGAGGTGAAACCCTGAATAATAGCTCCATGTCTGGAACCCTAGCTGCTCACTAGATAGATTGATGGAGTGGATGGACTCCACTGCGTACTTGGAAGAGATCCACTCGGCAATCTTCCCGGATTCACTCGATTCATGCCTAAGGCAGGCCATCTATTGCAATCCCTACTTCGTCCCCATGAATGGAATTATCTAGTCTGTATTGAATGGTAGGGAAAGCTGAATATTCGGTTTACATTGTAATCCATTAATTTTAAACTTATCTCATTTGCACCTCCGCTTAATGCATGCTTGGAGGCTTCATTGTGCAAGCCGGACAGACCTTACAGCACCTCACAAAGAGAGAGAAGCGGGCCAGTCGATGGAGTTGCTCGGTCAATTCAATTTCAGGAAAGACTGCGCTGCTGCTGCTCCAGAATGCTTCTCCTCCTTCTTCTCCTTTTTTTCATTCTGTGCCCGCAGGTTCTCGAATTTATTCGTTAACCGAACCCGCCTCGGCAGTGCCCTCAGACTCGATCCCGTCAACTCTGCTTCAGATGTGGACGTTACATCTGAATGATGATCGCGTGCCTGAAGTTGCAAGCCAGGACCGACATTGTCCTCAATCGGTATCAATCGCAAGAACTGCTGGCTGTCTGTGTGGTGCTCTCCTGAGCATGACCGGGGCGCATCTGCTGCATGGGTTCTCATAGGATCTGAGCTTGAGCTTGAGTTTGGATCTGCCTCCATCTCGGCTCGACTATGAAACAACTCCTTCCGGCTCAATACCCGCTTTGACGGTCGACCGGTAACCATCACTGGAAGCGACTTGCGGGCATTGTCTGGCTTGCTGCTGCCATGGTCGCGCGTTGAAGCCGGAAGCACGTTTGTTCTTCTCAGCTGAACTCGCTCACTGCTGTGGCCTCGCTGTGGGAGTGGTAAGCCTGATGGTTTCTGCTCCGATGCTCCGGTACTGCCATCATGCATGCCGTTGCTTCGGCTGCATACTCCAGGACTATCCACTGATGAACCAGACTTCAGATTGCCCCCTCCATACCGCTTTCCAGCAGTATGAGGTGCCCCCAAAGAGGAAAGCACACTCCGTCTTCCTTCATGCTGGTACATCTCATGCGAATACAGATTCGACGTTGGTGGCTTGACAGGAGTGGGAAGTCTTGAATAATTGGCATAGCGAGCCTTTTCACCCGTAGCCTGATGAGAGACAGGGAACGAGGTCTCATGCAGGATCAGAGGTTGCCTCTCCTCCTCCTTCTGGGATACGGAGATCAATTCTTCATTGCAGTCTCCAAAATGTCCTTGTACTTCCTCCTCGGCTTGAGTGGAAGGCTTTCCAGCGTCTGTTGTGTCTGAAGATAGCATCACTGCTCGCCTGATTCGTTCTCCACGTACGGAACGGAGCTTCTTGGTTGGTGTAGATGCTGATGAGCTGGTTCCTGTGGCAGACATCGGTGATTGGGGGGTATTTGGAGGAGGACAGGTCAAATCGTTGATTGTGTCCTGGGTGCGGTTGCTGTGGCTGGCTTCAGTGTTCGTGTTGCCTGAGCGGCTACGTCGACTTTTGAATGCACATTTGAGAACTTGAAGAGAACTGGCAAGAAGGGATCTGCGAGTTACCCGATCAGGCATCATGGATTTAGTACGGCACTGGATCTTGGGAAGGTGAGAAGTGTGATTCAAGAGTGCTGGAGACCAGCATCATCTGCACTGCAAAGCATAGAAAATGGCTTACTGTGTTATGAGTTTCAAGCGAACTATAACAAGTAGCGTGAAGTAGAAATAGGAACGCGCGTCGCCACTGTATTCACTTAGACACGGGATATATTGTCTTCGAATTCACGTATCGATCCCGTGATCACGGAGGCAATATCCTCATCAGCATCCAAGACGCATTTAGGTGTGATGCTTAGCTCACTGGTAAGCAAATACAGCTTGACTCCTAAATGTATGGAACAGTTAGGGCGCAATAGCGTTGAGGACATGCATTCATGCAACTTCGCTGCAGCCTTTTTTCTCACTATAAATTTCACATCGATAATGCTTTTTGAACAGTTCAGGAGAATGGATAAAGCCGGGGACTGGAAGGACCCTCAGCTTCACCATCTCCGAAACCAGAGGACAGGAACTTTCCATTATTGCCCAGTAAACCAAGGGTATGCATTGTCTATCCATGCATGCTAATCCATATACATACAGATGCCAATTCAAACAATGCCTATATTCATGCTCGACACCAAACACCGCATCAAGTCATCATGCCATGAAAGTAAATAGAGCAGACACCTGTTCTACTCCGAGTCACTATCCACCACGAAGCCCGCGCGCATGCGTCTGCGATTTGCTGCTACAACCGGTGCGTCATCGTCGTCTTCATCCTGCGCCATTGCTTCATCAGGCTTGTTCGAGTCCTGGTCTGCGTTCCCAGCAGAACCCAACAGCTTCTCTCGATCCCGACTGAATACCAAATCGTCATCGAAATTGAAGCCATCGTCCGCCTCCTCAGATGGCGTGCCCTCTTTTTCCGACATAGGCGATGGGGCATCCATGTTCCCCATCACGACATCATCATCTTCGTCCACTTCGTCAGTCTGCTTCCCGCGTCGTTGCCGCTTGCTCTTGGCTTCACCTGTCCGGGTGCGATTGGTTTGGCGCTTGCGTTGACCTTTCTTATTGGTTGAACCGTCTCCGTCCTCGGTCATGCCGGTAAGTAGTGCATGCTTGATACGCTGGGCTTGTTCTTTACGTCTCTGCTCCTCCAGGAGGAAGAACTCCTTGTCTCCTTCTTCGTCGGTGTCTTCGTCACTCGCGTGCACATACAGATCACTCTTGATCTTGGCAAGACGAGCTCGACTATTTTCCAAGCGCGCCCGGCGACGCTCCTCCAATGTCTCCTCATCCACGGAGTCGTCCTCATCCTCATCATCCGGGTCACGTTCTTTGCGCTTTTTCTTCTTCGTTGGTTTCTTGGCTGGGTTTGGCGCTGCCCGAGGGTTCGGCGGGAACAAGGGCCCGTCTGGTACCTCGTCCTCGCCCTCGGAATCGTCCCCAAATTGAATATCGGGGTTGTATTGGTTGTCTGATGACTTCTTTCCACCACCGTATTTCCGTCGGATCAGCTCACGGGGGTCTCGTCCAAGTGTCCCTCGCTTAGCTTTCTCGAAGTATTTGTCGATGAATGACTTCATCTCTCTGAGATCCTGGGCCTTTGGAGCAGAAGGAATGACCCAGGCTGCTCCAGGCACGTCCTCTGCACCAAGTCGTTCAAACTTGACCAACGTCATTAAAAGACGGAGCTTCGCGTTGGAAAACATGGCCTGCTGGCATGCATCGTCGCGCGCTTTCACAGCTGCAGAAATGTTAGTTTCCAGTTCATATATGAGCAAATAAAAACATACAAATCATAGGATTGGGCATTCTGGAACTCTCCGCACCCGCCTCGCGCAGGGCCTTCTCCTGGGCTTCCCAAGCCTCTCTCTCTTCCACTGCCGACCCCAACACATCGCTGACCCAACTGACCAGACCTTCCTCCCCATCCAAGACCAATGCAGGCACCATGATGCTGATTTTCTCTTCAATTGTATGAGCCTGTCGAGGGTCGATCTCTAGTTCTGCTGGAGCCTTCCTGGCACGGGTGACTGTCTGCCGCTCGTGACCATATTCGAGGTAGAATGTAGTCGCGTTGATCTTACTGAACAGCAGCTCCACGAACAGAGCAGGCCGTTGATCGAGCCTCTTTGTCAATCGCCGGATAATCTGGCGCACGAATTCTTCCCATTCTTTGAATATCGGTTTACTCGAATCCAAGGCGCCTGGGCCTTTAATCATCCGGTAGAAGAGGTTGATGATATCGAGTCGGAATAGCAGAACACTGAGTTCTTGCTTGAAAGCAATCCTGTAAAAATAACGGTGGGCACGTTTTAGCTGCTCAGTGTTCAACTCCTTGTAGTGCTTGGTGAAAGCAACAAAGGTGTCAACGCATTTCTGATTGCAGAACTTGGCGGCAAACCGTCTGAAATCGAACTTGCGCTCCTTGGACACTCGTTCTGCTTCCATGCGATCTTCATCTTCGGAGCCATTCTCTTCATCATTCTCGTCATTACCAGCACCTTCTACATCCTTGGCTTTGCGTCTGGCACGTCGCCGAGATCGTACTTGCATATTGAGGTTCTCCTTCGAATAACGCTCCAACATTCGCAAGAAGACGTGAGTGAGTTCAGTGCAGGCATCCAGATACCCAAACGGTTGATCCTTGTACCCACGAATAACAGCGAGGACGCGGTCATGGGTTGTCTCTTCGTAAAAGATACGATTTTGGATGTTTTCAGCGATCTCTTGGTCTTCTTCGAGCGGAGACTGGGCCATGTCCTGCACGGTCAACAAGATCTGGGTGAAGCAGCGCATTCCAGCGTTGAGATCTTCCCAGTCTTTATTATCCAGCGCATACTGCATAGCGCGATTCAAGAAGACGAACGTTTCTTGATTCAGGACGCCCGCAACTAGACCAAAGCTATCGGGTTCCAGCTCCTTAGCCGGCTTGTCGCTCTCTGCATGCTTCTTGCGTTGGCGTGCCCGACGTGCGCGCTCCGCTTCGAGAAACCAGGCAGTAGTGTAGAGAAACTGGCGCGTGTTGATGTCCATGACACGGTCTGCTTCACGTTCGATTGCCTTTCGTACATGAGTGAGAAGGGGGTTGAAGCCCGAGTCCAGAAACTCTTCCACGAACATCCGCAGATTGTTGGAGGCAGTCGAGTTTAGGTGGACCGGAGTGCTGAAGTCATTGTGCACAGTCAAATCTTGTGGCTTTCGCCGAATCAGTGGCTTGTTCCACTTCTTGGTCTCGTCCATCTTTTGAAGGGTCGCCTGGCTGTCTTTGAGCACGTTCTGCCCTGAGACGGTCGAATACTTGGCGTCATCACGCTTGACCCAGATCATGGTCCCAAAGCGTCCATGTCGAGTTGGTGCGTTCTTCGCGTATTCTCTCCGCAAAGACGACTCCTGGCGCAATAAGTCGTCTAGCTCGTCCGTCCGTTTCGCTGTTCGTTGCTCATCATCCATGAATAGCTTCTCCACATTTATACCCCTTATCAGATGAAATAATATCTCCAGAAGAGCAACATCCTGCATAGTGAAGTCGTCGCCAACGTTGGAGCACATAGTCAGAAGCAGAGCGAAGACATCCTGATCTTGGAAGGCGTTGATTGTTGCAGATCTCGAGGTTTCCTCTTCGTCGCCTTCCGCCGCGAGACGAGTATTTGGGGTTATCAAAGCGATGTTCCGGAGGAGATAGAGTAGTAATTTGAGGATACCTTCGTCGCGGGTCGTTCGCTCGGATCGTGGGATGGCCATGCTCGGAATGCCGACGCGGATAATAGTCCGAAGGTAGCTGGTGCTAGCATGACTTAATAGGCCTCGCTTATATGAAACGTGGACATGTTGTATGTATGGTATATGCCGATGATGGTTGATTGTCAATTCCCCGTGTAGTTCTACCGGCCATGTCAAAGGGACCAGCAGCTCTACTGCTGTCTGTTAGATATCGTCGCAAAGAACTGTAGCACATAGCATCACTTACAGCATGCCAATGCGATCCTAGACATGTATTTGGTTTGTTTCTTGCTGCTCGCCCAGACTGCCAGGATGGGTAGCAAATCTCCGTTGACAAGATTGGCTTCTCCCAAGCACCGTGCCACATCCATCCGGTTGTGTTTCTCATCGTATAGCTTCAGCCAGCGTTTAATATCCCGGAGACAAGCCAGAGCGTCATCTCCCAGCACATACTTGTCTGCATCTTCGCCATTGAAACCACCCAACTATGAGCGAACAATCAGCTGTGTTCCTATCCTATTGTTCAGTCCTTGAAGGGGGTTTACTCACGGCAGTGACGAGACTATAGACATGGGCGCGGACATCGGGGTCCACTACCTGCACGTCCGGTGCAGACAGCACTGGTTCTTCGTTCTCCATGCTGGGCTTGCACACCTTGTATCATTCCTCCTTCTCTCTATCATGCTCTGCTTGGTGATCCTGCGCGCGCACCCCTAAATTGGCCATCAACCAATAATGGCGCGTATCTCACGCGTCGACGTGTCACCGCCTTTGGAAATCCCGGATAAACGAATCAGCCGAGAAAGCCGCGGGTAGCCGATGACGTCGGATCACATGAGATTGGCCGAGGCCCGATGCATCTCCGTGCGGCCCTCTATTTACTATCGGGTTACTACTTCCCCTCTTTGCTAGATCTGCTCCGTATCCTGTATCAAGAGTCTTCGTACCCAAGTTGACAATATGCTGTCTTCATCATTGCGCTCTCTCTGCCACCGGGGCCCCTCAATGGCCTCGCGGGCCTTCAGCACCTCGTCCGCCGTCCATGCTGCCGAGGTTAAGTCGCTGGGTGTGATAGGAGCTGGGCAGATGGTTAGTGACCCTGACAATACGGTGTTGGCTCGAGTATATGAAAGCCTAACGCAACTAATATCCTATAGGGATTAGGAATTGCTCTAGTAGCTGCCCAGAAAGCCCAAGTCCCAGTGACCCTTATCGACAACTCCCAAGCTTCCATTGACAAGGGACTCAAGTTTGCCGGTACATAGCACCCCTCACCACCATCCCAGCACCATCAAACTAAACCACTTCACTCCTCCAGACAAACTCCTCGACAAAGATGTATCCAAAGAACGTCTCACCCGGGACGCCGCCGACGCTGCCCGGGCGCGCATCACCACGAGCCTCAAAATGGACGACCTCTCCACCGTCGACTTCGTCATCGAAGCCGTCCCCGAGATCCCTGACCTTAAGACTTCTATCTTCTCAAAACTCGCCCAAATCGCCCCTAAGCATGCCATTCTCGCTACCAACACCTCCTCTATCTCCATCACCAAGATCGCAGCCGCCACCACTACAGACCCCAGGGACCTGCAGGCCCCCTCGCGCGTCATCTCCACGCACTTCATGAACCCCGTGCCCGTGCAAAAGGGCGTAGAAATTATTGCTGGCTTGCAAACCTCCCAGGAAACAAAGGATACCGCTATCGCTTTTGTCCAGCGTATGGGCAAGGTCGCTTCTGTTTCTGCGGACTCGCCTGGTTTCCTGGCGAACCGGATCCTCATGCCGTATATCAATGAGGCGATCATCTGTTTAGAGACCGGCGTCGGTGGTCGTGAGGATATTGATAACATCATGAAGACGGGCACAAATGTGCCTATGGGTCCGTTGGTGTTGGCGGACTTCATCGGTCTGGATACTTGTCTCGCTATCATGAATGTCTTGCATCAGGAGACTGGTGATAGTAAGTACCGGCCATCCGGGCTGTTGAAGCGTATGGTTGATGCTGGGTGGCTGGGCAAGAAGACTGGAAAGGGCTTCTACGACTATTAATTGATTGATTGATCCAATCAACTCTGTATCTATCCAAGCGAACGTTGCGATATCCCTCCCTTATATGCTGTGATGTCTTAGAATACTATGTACCCCGGTTTGGGGTGTCTTGCTAATGACTGATTCGGAATTGCATGTACATCTAAATACTGGTGACCGAGAAGTAGTCACACTGCATGCAGCAAAGACAGCACACAGCATTAACGTTGTACACCCAGACATACATTACCACTAAGGTGTCTCAGCAACACTTGTACCAGGTACAAGTCACGACCCATATAGTACTAACTATCCCTCATACGCTTACAAATCGGACAACAACATCATATAGAGTCAATAATTCATTCTCATAATCATAACACGCTAATTGAACACGACTAGACAAAGGAAAAGTTAAGGAGTGTGCCGCCAGGATACATTTTCGAAAAACAGAATGCCTCCCTTCAAGTTGGAGATAAAATAATCAATCTGGTTCCTATCCACCCAATACTCAGAGCCTAGGAAACCCTCCTAGCCCGAGTCGCCTGCTGCGGTATCAGCAGACTTGCCCGACTTCTGTTAGCGCTTCCCGCCTTTTCCTTCATGCCGCTTTGGGTCTTTGCCAATTCTTCATCCCGCAACCTTTCGTTGCATAGGATGGCAGCCACCACTGCGGCGAGTTCGGCCTCCTGGTCTTTGTTCACGCCGCTGTGGCCGATGATAAAGGTGAGGAAGTCGATGGGCCGTTGACCTGGTTTGGCGCAAGTGCACGATAGCCATGGATTGCGACAGAGGTTACTGTGTCTCGGTTAGGATATCTAGATGCAGCTTGTGCTGGGCAGGGTGAAGGGGGAACTTACCAAACTTGTGCCTTGCACCGACACGTAACGTGATCACAATTGAACAAGAGGTCCACCAAAGAGCCACATTTGAGACCCCTCTGCGCTTTGCCGAGTCGCGGATCTTCGAAGACGGCCATAAAGCCCGGATCTTTCTTCCCAGTCGAAGTACTATTATTGTACTCCGGGCATCTGCAGCCAGAGCAGAACGTCGTGCTGCAGTATGGGCAGCTTTGGGACGAGAGCTTGCTGTTCAGATGCTTCGGTGGGATGAACCGGCCGCACGTCGGCGCAGGACAGTACCAGCGTTCTCTGGCTGGGGTCGCATACTCCTGCACCTTGGCGAAATAGACCGTCCTCTCCTTCGGTGTCAGCACGGGGAGGATGACCTCCGTTGGGATCTTCTGCTTGCAGCATCTGGGTGGGAACAGTCCTTCCTCCGGCATAACTGTGAACACCAACTTCTTCAAGCATCTGCTGCAGTACTTGTGCTGACACGGCATGCTGATCAGGCATTCCGCGGGCATAATATCCAAACAGCATGCGCAGGGTCTATAGAGTAAGTTAGCGCTATCATCAAAAGCAAAGGCTTGGATGGAATATCTCGATGGGATACTTACTCGTCGATTACCTCCCTCTTCGCAAGACGCTTCGAGAACCGCCCTCGAACCTTCTGCACAAGCCGACTCATCTTCGACTTGTGGCGGTGTTCGTCTTCGCTATGTGACATGGTTCTCATTGAATTGGTGTCCAGACTCGAGACACGGTCCATTGGCAGTGGCTCCGTTCTGAAAGTGCTGCCACGGGCCTCGCTCTTTTGGCGGTGTTCCGCGAGGCGCTGGGCAGCACGCGCAGCCAGGTCTTTGACGTTAAACGCAGTCATCTTGACTTCCGGCAAGGATTCTCTTTCAGTGGCTGTAATTCCTTCTGGCTGACCTACGAAATAGAGCGATTGAGGGTCGTACACTTGGGGACGGGGTCGGTGATGGGGAGGAGCAGATCGGACTGAATGATTGCTGGGTGCAATTCCGGGACGCTGGAATCCATAATCGCTGGTTTCGACTTTAGAGAGTAGGGCACGAGCAACGAGCAATGGACAGTAGTAACATAATACTTAGATCGATGGCAAGGGTCTTGGAATGGAGTTGTAGTTCTGAAAGTTATGTATGTATGGTGTAAATTGAGTTTGGTAGGAGATAATAACTAGCATAAAATCGCCGGCAGCCGGCGCGAGAGCTGCCAGGGTCTTTATAGACATCATTCGGGTTGTTTGTTGGACTGCTCGGCATATCATCCGGGATGACCAGAGAGCCAGACTAGAGGAGGGTGGGTATATCGCGCGACAACTAAGCGACCCATGCCATGGGTAAGGCAGTCGAATGCCACATGTCCACCGCCCATTATTTGCTAGAGATACCTCTCAGACAACGCTTCCCGCTAGAGAGTTTGACATCATTCGTCCGTGTGCAGCTGTAGGGTGACCTTGAGCGGCGGGGCACCACCTGGTCCATGCTAGTCTCCTCGACCAACCGCGAGAATACGGAAGAGATAGATGAGGACTATTGGTGACCGGAATTCGGGATAGACGAAGAAAAGAAAGTAAGCTGGCGCATGGAGCGCGACCATGCGGTTGACCGTCGGTTGAGGGTGTCGACGTGTTCGACTGCGGGGCGAGCAGGAAAAGAAGATCAGGTAGCAATGGAAGCAAAGCCCATCCCAGCCTCACCGCAACAAACTACTACTCTTTCCCCCAATCCCCTCCATGACTCACAATCACTCGCTCGCTCGCTCACCTTCCTTCCTTCCGATCGTCACCAAACTAAACTAGCCACTGCCCAACAGCAGTCCGAAGACTGGTCGTCGGTTCACGTATTGGTCTCTGGCGTGGTCGAGCAGTGCATGAAGACCTACTAGCGCTGCCTCTACCTCTCACCACTTCCCTGAGCAATGATAAACCATCATCGCCCATCCCGATGGGAAATGACATAATGACATTGTTCTATGAATTCCACTGGCTTGGGATGGGCCAACATCTTCGAGGGTATCACAGAGAATCGCTAAAAAGTATGAAGACAAACACCGAACAGCACCCAGGCAAGCAAGCAGGGAAAGCAAGCATCCCTCATCAAACCCCGTAACACTCCAATCAATGCAAAATCCTGAACTCCACCAAGACAGCCATTGCCCGCTGAACTTTATATAGCACCAGTAAACTTTCGACTTGCCCAAGAAGAACCGTGCTCTTGGTACTCTTGCCGGGTGATGGCGACTTTCCGGAGTTCGTCTTTATTAGTAGCAAATCGGGACGCCCCCAACCAGGCGGAGCGAATCGGGCTGTGAATAGAAAGATTACGATCATCAGCTCGTAGTTCAAAGAGACAGTAGTCAGGAAGTAGGGCAGCAGCTCTTACTCTTGCGGGCATTTCACCCGGACAGCGCATTCCGCGGAAGCCAGTTGGCGCAATTCCGACTCCCTGCCACCCAGTTAGCAACAAGATACCAGTCCGCCAAACATATGAAGGCCACACTTACAGTCTGTCCACAAATCCTGGGAGTAGCGCATTGCCACCGACGACCAAAACGTTGGCCAGAAACGCGGGATGCAGTCCGGTAGGCAAGACAGAAAGACTTTGCATGATAATATCCGGAATGCCAGCCTGCTTCATGCCAATGTCGCTGGGAGTGAACAAGATCTCCGGAACAGCGAAGCGCTCGTTGCCCAAGACCAGAGCGTCTTCCGATAGTGCTTCCGCGCTGGCCCCCGACAAACCTCCTTTCCTTTTCTTGGCGTTCAAGAGAGCATCATGCGGTCGCATGAAGCCCTTCTTGCCTGCATTGGGATCAGGAAGGACATAGTCCACCATCACCCCCTCGCTGGGGTCTGGCAGGCCGCGTTTCCGGTTGCCTTTCCACGTCTGTTCCATGTCGCCGACGAAGTTGTTGCTAACGAAGCAGACAGCTTCCTTGACCTCATTCATGATATAAGTCTCGTCCACCATGTTGTACTGCCGTACTGAAACCATTTCCTTCAGGTAGTTCGTAAGATGCTTGCCACCAAGGTCGAGTCTGCGAATGGCACGTTGAAGCGGCTGTCCTTTGTAAATCGGTGTCACGGTGGTGTGAGAGTAACCCGAATCGACCACCAATAAGCATTCCTTTGGAGACACCGTTGTGTTTGCCTCCTGCACAATAGGATCCCCGAACAGCGACTGGACATCATTCCAAGCGTTCATCGATGGTCCTAAATGCAATACGCGTCTCTGTTAGCAATCACCTTCTCCAAGCAATCAACGTACGACCACCTAGCATCCTTACCAACGCATCTGAGGTACCCTCCAAACCCCCACTCCTCCATAACAATCTCATCTGCATTCTTCTGCAGCGCCGGCAATGCATTCGGCGCCTCCGTCAACAACAACGTCGTGTCCTCGGGATCCGTAATCCGCAAATCCTTACTGCGCACGGTCTTCTCATCGAAAAACGAGTGCTCCCAAATCTCCTTCTGAGCCTCCCAGTTCACAATGTAGCCCTTCTCAACGGGACGACGAAACATCAACTCGTTCCAGTCCGTCACATGTGTGTTCAGCTGAGAGCCGACGTAGATCTTGTTGCCACGGGTCTTGACGATCGCATTTGGAATTTCGGTGCAAGCTGCAAGCGCTTTCGATTGGTCCTCTGGAGGTGCAGAGTCCGGCGCATAGCCGGCTTTCAGGGTGTATGCGCCATTATCGATGACGAATGTCTTGTCGGGGAGAGACTGGACCTTGGCGACGGAAGCCCGGCCGGAAGGGCGAGGTTTGGTGGTGCCCATTTTTGGCAAAGGGGTTTAGGTCATTAGAGTTGATGCAGAGGGCATGGGCGTTTTTATTTAGAGAGGTGAAATGCGCGGGAAATTACTGGTGAAGGGGTTGGCTGGAGATGGAGAAGTGCAGACAAGACTAAAACCAAGATGGCCGCGACGGAGCTTTCGGTCGGCGATCGGAGATGCCAAGCTGTCGAGCTCCCAAATCGGTAAATGAGGGCACAGGCTTAGGGCATGGATTTTGGTCGCTCATGGAGTACAATATTTATATCTACGTTCACATGGAATGCCTTGGTATTGCATTGGTGAGGTCTACTATTGTGCCTGCCATGTCTGACAAACGTGTTGCTTTCATCATCGTCGTGGTTGGTGTGAGTTGG